GGCCCCGTCAATCAGCATCGCCTCGGGCCCGACTGCCATCAAACCATCTGCTGCCCATCACGCCCTCGACCAATTGCAGCGGCACTGTCGCGAGACACTCTGTCTGACTTTGCTGACCTCACTGCGGCAATGTCCGACATCCTTCCTCATCGGACCGTCCTCCGTCCCTGGCCAGCGCCTTACTGGATCTCACCTCCCTAGGTTCTGACATACAGCGTCCAGCACCACCTAATAACACCGGCGGATGGGGGCTCCAGCCCATCGCCCTCGACCCGACGACTCCACGAGCCCAAGATCCTCTTCAACTGCACCCCTCTGACTCTGTCCATCTCCAATCTCCGTTCTAGCATCGTCACATTGTCGCTTCGCGCTTTCGGCTTCTGTCAACCGGATCGTCAAATTGCGGATGTCGGCATAGCGGAGATTTACCTCATCTTGGCATGGGCACGACGACCTATCACTGTGAAGCTTCTCAATTGACGAGTCGCAAAAAGTCTCGCATCCTTCTTACGGACCCTTCTCTCCTCAGAGGCCCCGTTCCGTCTCCATCATTCGTGGGGAGCTTCCCGTCAGCTCCCTTCGGCTTCGGGCGGGTCGTCCGCGGGACGAGAAAATGGAAACTCTCCTCTCTCCGGTGGGCACGCGAAAATTCAACAACACCAAACATCTGCCCCTTCAAACGGGCGCCGCAAGGCTGTGCAATCTCGAATCACTCCTGGATCCCTCCGCGCCTCCCATCCGCCGAACCCCGGCGCCTCGCCGCTGATGGTTCCCTTGGTCAGCAGGCTTGACAAGGACGCGCCGCACCAAGAGTCGACACGGAGCTCTGGTGCTGCACCGGCCGGCATGTCACTGGCCACCGAGCAAGGCTACGGAACCAACAGGCGCGCAGAGAAGGTGGACAAATGTTTCGCGTCCGCTTGAACACCATCCCTGGCGCCGCTCCTCGCACTTATGACGGCACAACTCTATTCCATACCTTCGCCCCCTGTTTGCCGCCCTCCACAGCAAAACGGGATCGCCTCATCCCCCAGATCTTCACCGGCTCCCGTTTATGCATCCGCTGTCAACTCGCCATCTGCCACCTGCTGTGTATAGTACATACCGCACCATTTTTCTGAAAATATTTCGAAACGCCCCTGCAGCCGTTGGGCCCATATTCGTCTACTGCAGGGAGACAACATGCTCCTCGACAAGGCGTCACAGCCTCTGTCGTCGACGCAACGCAGCAATATGATGGCACGATTGCAATCATTTGCAAATCCCTCACGGGTATCACCTCGGACCCAATCTGCCTCTTTGGATCAGCGCCGCTTTTGTCTGGTCTCGTGATTTGAAATACACAATGGATACCCATTCCTCCCAGATGGTGACGCTGGTTGAGGGGCTACGAAAGAAGCGAGAGCGAGAAGCTCGGAAGCTCACCAAATCGGTCGACATCAGTCGCGATCCGTCATAACCACCCGCCTCACTTTGTCAGCCGAGTGATGGTCAGTCTTTACCATGTTAGTTGCCAAGCAGAACCGCTCGCACGACCGCAAGGGCTCAGTCTTGACACTTGACAACCCGTGGTTGACAAAATGCACGTCACCAGGCCTAGACCCCGTCTAACGCTTCCCGCCCCTCTATAATCGGCTCCGGCCTGAGGTCGTTCCGCTGGGCTATGCCGTGCGCGGCATTGACACGGGAATGGGCCCCGACACCCAGTTCATCCCAATGAGGAATGATTGCACATCACCCGAGCACATCGTTTCTCACCTTCAGCAGACGTCAAGACCCGGCCACCTTACGAGAGCACCAGTCAGCGCCATGATCCAACAGCATCCGCTGTCTGACAGCTATCGTGGGCCTGATTTGGGCGGCCAAGCCTGTCCCGCTGATATGACGCGACGGATGGCATGGGCAATTGCTTCCGAATGTTGCTCCTATCAGCCGACATTTTGCAGTGCTCCAGACTCCCGTCCAAGGTCCCGGGCGGTACCACGGCATGACATCAACCGTTATCCGTCCTTCATGCACTATCGCATTGTGCAACCGTTTAATTCAGACCCCGCAGATCAACTCGGCATTCCTTTCTTCGAGCTTCCGCGATGTCCTCGACATGTGTCTTTGCTCCACAAGGTCCAAAGTCAAGCCGCCGGGCCTGACTGTGAAATCGCCCATCTGCACGCAATGCCGGGAGTTGGCAAGCTTCCCGTCACGCCCCCGTCAAAGTCTCCCCTGACCCACCGCTTGTCATTTCAAGCCACCCACAACCCGATGTGGCTGGGCTTTCCACGGGAGGCCCTCGCGAATGGCGTCGGATATTTGACTCGGCCGATACATCAATGCCTGGGCATTGTCTGAAAGCGGGATTGTGCCCCGTCATTAGGGTCCCAACCGGCTTCGGGTGCATCCTGTCAAACTTTGGCCCGCAGAGGCCCAGCATCGAGACGACGGGATATCTACGAACATGGTGTGAGTCACCGACGGTCAATTAGCCAGACCCCGCGTATCGAGAGTCTAGGCTTTTGATGTTGAATGACCTGCATCATCACAGCGAGCGCCTATCTCTTCACGCATGGTTGAACATCATCCTAGGTGACGCTCAGTGTCGCTTAACCGCCCTGTGTTCTCACATGCTCATGTCGGGCACTCAGTCGGCCGCCTTCTGAGCCCAGCCGCGACGTCGTGATGTCAATTGACCACGGAGAGGCGGCAACGGAGGAATTGCCGAATCAGATGCTCGAGAGATTTGCTAATCTCCCGCGGCCTTTCCATCCAGGCGGTGCCATTGTACCGCGAGAAACGCGACGGCTGCATGTGCTTCTGATACTTTGCCCGCGCTCGCCCACAGCAGCCAACCAGCTGATCGCAACGTGTTATGCAACAGAACGATCGGCGCCTCCGGTGGATGGTGTACCTAACCATGGCTCGAAGCAGTTGCGATCAGATAATTCTGCGCTTCCGCCTGCCAGGCAAGTCGCACGATGCAAGGAAGACTCCGTGCTATGTGGGACACTGAGGCAGTGCTCAGACGATATTACTCGCAAACAGAATCTCTGTGCGACATTTGCCGGCCGCGAGACGAACAAAGACGTTGACTGACATCTGGCGTTGTCAGACATCTGCGAAGTTAAGGTCCCAACCTTAATCGAACGACTTTACGTTCCTCGTCTCATCCACTGGCATTCAAGCCGCAGCAGACGAAGCCGGTATTGCTCGTTGCCGCATCGCCCGTTCGTGGCGGGTCGCTGTCGCACGAAGCTAGGCGTCCCTAGCAAACTCAATCTCGTTTCGACAAGCAGCGCCTAGGCGATTCGACGCTGACACTGGGGATCCATTTCACGAATCGCAAAGTTCCGCTGAAGAAGGGCCAATTGCCCAGCATCTTCAGGGACTCTGCCAGGTCCCACCATCACCCCGGTGCCTGTCAGTCTGGCAATGGTGCACCCCCAATGTCACGTCAGTCGCCAAAGTATCCCTGTAGAGCCAAACTGTTGCCCGCGTCGGTCCAACGTTTCCGACAAATCTTCCGAGCGACGAGAGGCGACAGATGGACTGGTCAGGGATGATTCTTTGGCGCTGGTTGTCGTTTGTGACATTTCGAGCTCTTGTGTGCTGCTACGTTGCCGGCGAGATAACGAAATGAACGATGGGCCTGTGCGACAATGGCGCGCTGGACTCGTCTGCGACTTGAACGACTTGTGTATCGAGCCAGTGACCAAGATCAAGGGTGGTTGGGCAGACTGCCAGCCGGTTCACGACTTGGGGTTCTCGCCAAAAGTTCGAATCTCCGAACCCCAGGCAAGGTGTCGTTCGAGACTCCAGAGCAACCCATGTCACCTACGTTTTATTGACTGCCCCATGTTTCATGCGCCGCTGCGACTGCTGCCCTGTTTTGGCTATTTTGGGCTGGCAGCGTAGGTCAGCCCGATGCCTCTGCACGATTTTCCGCGAGAACAGTTATCCAACTCCAATGGATTTCATCGAGAAGCTAACGGCGTTCACAAGGCTTCATCTTTCACGATGTCTGGCGGATGAAAGTCGCCAGCAGTGTGCAGATGAGAGTCGCGTACGGTGCGGAGCACTCCGCAGATCAATCTAGCACCGATGATCAGGATTGCCGCAACGCGAATGCTGCGGTCGAATCATTCTTCGCTCGTGGCTGGTCACACGGTGTTGCGACGATGAGCACGCAGTCAATGCTGTAAAGAGAGTTCGCAACCGAGCAGAAGATCTTGCCCAATATTCTGTCGACAGACTATCCTGATATCGGTTGGAGCTCTCTGGGGGCGATCAACGACAAGCCAGTGCCAAAATAGCGACGAGAGCTCGGCCCTCCGCTAAACGGCTCACCAGTGATCAGCATCAGCACGGTATCACAGATGGCCATAACACCTGTTGGTCAACATCTCCGAACATGCCACTTCGGAACCAAACGAGGCGCTGGACGATCGGCTTGAGCCTTTAGCTCCAGCACGGCCATCTCTGTCTATTCGTAGCCATGTCATCCAGCCCGCATCTCTCAACGGCAGTTCCATTTTGCTGGTGCAGACGTTCTTTGGCTGGCTGCATCATGCTCTTTGACAGCATATTGTCTGCGGCCGCCACTGCGACCTCCAGGGTGTGGCCCTCTGCGGCAGGCTGCAAATGCTTTCAGACGGTACAATCCGATGCCTCGTCTATCATATCGACGTCCCACCGGCCTTGGGCACATATGTTCCCGTTATTCTTGCATTTCTGTCAAACGCAGTGCCACCATCGTTGACGCCCTACAAGGGGGCTGGCCCATCCTCGCTTCTCGCCTGAATCCTGATTTGGACTCGGAACACCGGGCGGGACGCGGCTCGCAAATTGCAGCCGGTCGCCTTGTGCCCTGCCTAGGCAATCTTGCCATTGCCCACTTCCAAGGCCACCTTGGGGGACCTCGACAACGGGCGCTCGACGACATGGCAAATATTGATCTTTTCCCCACGGCTTTCCTTGGTTTTGGGTTATTTTCCAAGCATAATTACCTGATGAAGCCCAAGACCAAGCTCTTCCCATGTCAACCGCATCCCTCACGGCGCAGACATCTCGTGTATGACTCTCGTAAGTCTACACTCACCGTTTCTCCACCTTCCACACCATCTTTCCATCACCAACCTCGCGTCCCTCGCTGCCCTCCCTCGCTTCTGCAGGTTGAGGCCCTTTAGCGAAGCATCTTTCTCTGGTCGGACAATTTGTACTGCAACTCTAAGTGCATCCGATCGCCCTGCCGGCTTCTCCTCATTTCGACGGGTTGGGCCCGGAGATTTAATTGTTTCGTTTGAAGCGACGGATGGAAACGATTTTGGCCCTTCGTAACAAACGAACCAGATTCCATCCGCACCCGCGGCCACCTTCGGGTTGCCAGCCCAGGATTTCCGGCCACTCCCCTCGCCAGTTCACAGAGACCGCCACCAACGACGGTTCGGCAAGCCGCCGTTACATCGCCCTCTGAACCGGTGTACGATGCGACGCTGAGGTACCAACAATCTCAGTCGAGAGCAGCTAGCGGTGGGCGGTCTGCAAGCGAGTGATGAGGAGCGCAGCAGCTTCGGATCCGGGTGGAGTTGGGCGCTCGACTGTTCAGGCATGAAGCCGGTTTGTTGGCGATCGTGTGATTTGCAGAGTTTGCGGACATGATGCGGCCTCGTACGTGCGATGCGGTGGACCAGACTATCTAGATTGGAATGCGACTCCCGTGCATTTGCACTAGACAAAATGGCGATCGCGCCGTCGAGTGTACGGGAGGCGACGATCGGAGGTTCCAACGGCCGTTGATGCGCAGCAAGTGCTTTGATCGGGGCATCCAATGGACGGAACGTAGGCCCATCACGCCGGACTTGTCGAGTTTGACCATCATCAGTGGCAAAAGACGCCATCATATCGGGATGTCAGCGGGCTGACGCATGCACAAATATGTCACGGAAGCACCAACGGTTCCCCGTTGATGTTCCCTTCAGGCCGGGCGACGGGGGATCGATCGCACTTCCACTCGACCGCTCAGACATGCGGGGGACTCGACTGCCGGTGTCACTGTGCACTGATGGACGCACAGACGAAAAGGTTCAGAATACGACCAGTTGTGCTTTCTTTTTATGTGATTACGAATTCCCGGAGAGTGTCTCTTTAGCCTTGGGCAGATGAGACTCTTTGCTCCGCCACAGGTGGCATCCAATATTTGCTAGGCTGAAATTGAACCATGGGCCCAAGAATAGTTCAGACGGACTTTTCTGCCTTCCAGGATCACGTAACATATTTCTTCGAATATATTGCTGCCAAATGTTATTAGATTACGGTAGGGATGCCGGCAATCGTCGCGTACCGGAAAACCGTCACCGACGACAAAGGGGGGCGAAGGGGGAGGGGGTGATGCCTAGCGAGACAAATGCCGCGGACGGGTGCGTCTTCTGGCACCGGCATAGTTCAACCATTACAGAAGCAAGTCTGGATGCTCTGAAACCTGTAGAAGCTTGTTGCCAGAGTCGTGCGGTGCATTTTCTGTGCTGGCCTTCGGGGGCTTTTTCTTCTTGCTCTGGTGCGGTGTTTTTGTCTTTCCTTGGTTCAGAGTGTTTCGGTACCGGAGGGATGCGCGAGTCTACGGCCGCTTGGTTTATGCTAACCGTCCGCCGGCGTCGTCTGGCCCAGCGGGAGGTGTTTCTGGTTGCGCTAGAGAACGGTCATTTGTGAGATCTACAGTAGACTTTGGGGAAGGAAAGCAGGATAAGGGGGACAGTAGCGGTATTTGTATGGGCGAATCTGCTCCGGGTTTTACAATACGTAGTTTACAGAACTTACTCTCACTATTGTTCGAATCTTTGAATCGAAATGTGATTTTGGCTGAGTCTTTTGAACGGCTTTGAAACGAACAGAAACGAAGGAAAACGCGGGAGTTGACGTGACGAGCGTCGATGCGCGTCTTCCGCTGGGGCACATTTAACTGGCTAACCAGACAAACTAGCATTCCTCGCGGCAGTTGCGTCTTCGAGCATCACCTCTTCGATAGCCCACCCGTCCCTGATCTCCTCTGCCATCTCGTCAATTGTCCATCGTCGTTATTCACCGTTCCATCCGAGACTTCGAGTCCATCGTCCGTCGTCCATCCCACCCGAAAAAACACCCCCTCATCTCGTCCCACTCTACAGACAGACGAAGAAAACTAGTTCACGAGTCCCACGAAGCGATCCTACGATGTTCGAATACCGAGAACGAGCCGAAGATATATACATGGTCAAGGATAGCTTGGGAGGAATGGATAGAAGGCAAGTGGGGGAGGGGATGGGGGATGGGAGGGAGGTAGCCGAGGCTATCGAGCGCGCGGTCTTGGAGGGAGCGGTCTGAGCGGTTGCCAGAGTCTTCGAGACCGGAATAATCCGCGAGGGTAGGTTACCTTACGACGGTAGTTGCGATGTCGGGGGTGTTCGGTATGCTTTTGGTTCAGCAACAAGGAGCCTGGGGATTCAGTCTCTTGGTGGAAGCGGTGGTAAGACGTTCGTGGGGGCAGAGTACCCTCTACAATCCCCTTACCAAATGTTCCATCGTGGGAAGAAACATTGGATATGGAAGTGGTTTCAAGGATCGTCACGATGGGGTGGTTGTTTGTTTCTCGGGCGGTTAGGGGGGCTGGGCGTTTTACGGTACGAAGGACTCGTAAGGGAAGGTGGGTCAGCTTTACGCGTGGAGTAAGTAACTCTGCGAAGTTCTTGTGGCGTGTTGCGATGTCTTTTGATGGATGGTCTGTTGAATTTCCCAACGAGTGTTTGGATGTTATGATGATGGTCATGATGATCGAAGTTTTCGTGGTTAGAGGCTTGCAGTTCCCAGGACGCCTTACCCCGCGGGTTGGTTTCTTAACGCTCGTGTGGTGTTTGGTGGTTGAGCAAGTGCTTCTTGACAGATTCTACAACTTGCCTTTGAATGTGGGAGGCTTTGTCATTATTGCGTGGACCATGGTCTGTTGCTGTTCGTTGTTGCTGTCTATCTTGACCGTCCGTTGTTATCGTCCAATATTGTCGTCTCTCGCCGTGATGGCTTCTATTGTTTCCTGTTTACAACCTGCTGTCTTCCTTGTTTCAAGTAATTGGGACCATAAAATGATTTCCATGCATGCGCAGAAAGATTGAATGGTCTGTTGGGTTATCGTTAGGTCGATTCCCCGAGGACACATATTTTATTGTAGTGGATCGAGCCCGTTGGCCATAAAAGGTTGTTACTGTAACAGGATGTAACAGGATGAAGTTGGTATACAGCAAGTGCTGGGCACAGTCCATGGTCCCAGGAGACTTTGACACACATCTTCCAAGATCAATTGATCTTGTTGACGACAGGAATTCGGAGATGATTTGTTTTTGTGGTGACAGCTGTGGGTTGGGCAGGACGAGAGTCGGCCATAATTCATAGGTCTAGCAAATGGGCGCGGAAGCGCGTTGACAGAAGCATACCGGCTCCAAATTGAAGTCAAATCACGGAGAGGAGCACACCTAGTTACCACTAGGGGAGTTTCCATCCGTATCTTTCAAGGGGAGAATGCCCCTGTGTGATGAAGTGTGTAACACATTTGCGCGAGATCATAGGGCTACGACTCCATGTCCTTTTCAAATCGACTGGGGTCACTACTGTGGTCAAGCAAGTGTCGACAATTCTTTACCTCCATGCATGTCCAGAAATAGTCATCAATATGGTAACTTGCGCTCTGTTGTCTGTGACTCTAGTTCTCCATCCCAATTTGAAGCTCGCCGCCGTTGTCATTCCACAGCCGGTCGTGGGGCCGAGCCGCTGCCTGTGGGTTGAGATAACTCCGTGACCCAGGGCGCGGGATAATCTACATCAATAGATTCTGCATGTGACGCTCCAGGAACGTTGAATCTGCGGCTGAGAAAGCGCAGTCACTAGAAATTACAACCGTCTGACTACCGTTATCCCTAACGACGTCACGATCACCGCATGGCACCGAGCCCTAAATTGGCATGTGCTGACGATCCATAACTCCTGCTATGAGGGGAACGCGCCTTCAATCACACAGCGAGTGATCTTTTGGATTCAAAGCTCAAAAGAATGCAGAATTGCGGGATGATTGTCGGATGAAGGTCTTGCCGTTGCGCAAATGACGCAACAATGGTCATGGTAGCCGCCCTGAATGTAGTCGACGAAGTCTGAGACATGTCTCTTCTTGAGCAACTGAAACATGACCAATCTCGTCCGATGTAATAATCTGGCACAGGCGATCTGTAGGTAGCCTAGTCAACTTTGGGACTACGTCGGACACGTTGGGATACCCAAATCAAGATGCTGTCTGAGTTTCTCGCAAGTCTGATCCGAGTGATCGTCGTGGAAGTGAGGGGTCGTCAGACATCGTGGAACCGCCAGACCGGATTCCGGCATTTTCGTCGAGGGGTAAACTTTCGCGATTGCTGTCTCATCCCGAACCCGGCTACACCGTCGGAAGTCAGACAGACTTGGCCGTTCCGGGCCAAGGTCGATCGCCGATGCGGGCCGCCGCATACCTGTACGACGACCGGCAGGAGGGACGACGGGCTGAATCTTCGTCAGTATAAGAGCTCGACATTTGCTTGTCCGAGGGATTATGGATCCAGTCGACTGCACTCTGTTATTAGACTCCTTCCTTGAATTTTCCTACAACTCAACATGGCTTCCACCGAGCAGAAGACGTGGCGTGCTGCCCTGACCTTCGCTGGCGGAGCTGTCATTGCCCAGTACCTTTTCGGTTCTGGTCCTATCGTTGCACCAGCTCCCTCAAGTCTTGAGGCGTGCCTCAATGATGTGTGCTCCGGCCGAGACGACTGCGTTCGACTCGGTAACACGGCCGAATGGGCTCAGCCGTTCAATCTCGGCCAGAGCTCCGTCCCGGCTGCTATCATCAGGCCCAAAGACGCCCAGGAGATTGCGGGCGTCGTCAAGTGTGCTCTCAAGCACGACACCAAGATCCAGGCTAAGGCTGGCGGACACGGATTTGGGTAAGTACCAAGCTATCCTTGCTTATCGACATTTGCTAACTTTCGACAGGAACCATGGTGAGCCTAAAGCAAACCTTTCGCCAAAGGTACGAAATGCGCTGACTGTAATCTCCTAGGCCTTGGCGGTGAAGATGGTGCCATCTCAGTTGACATGCACCATTTCCAATACACCTCCGTCGACATGATGACTCCTTCTCGGAACGTTCGAGTTGGCGGTGGTACGCGGCTCGGGCAGATTGACGAGCACCTCCGTGCTCATCAGCGAGTCATTCCCCATGGCCTTTGTGGAGGCATCGGGATTGGTGGTCACGCCACCGTCGTAAGTCTCTGCATTTGCATTCTGTGGTGTGCCAGTGTTCTGACATTGTGAAGGGAGGCATCGGGCCCATGTCTCGTATGTGGGGAACCACACTGGACCATGTAGAGGAAGTTGAGGTTGTCACTGCCAATGGCACAGTCACGAGGGCTAGCAACCATCAGAACTCCGACCTTTTCTTCGTAAGATCTCCCTCGCGGAAATTCCGAGACCATGATGCTGACCCCTCCTCCAGGCTCTGCGAGGTGCTGGCGCTGGCTTTGGCATCGTCACCGAGTTCGTGATGAAGACGCATCCCGCCCCAGAGCAGATTTTCTTCTACACCAACGAGTTAAAGTTCAGCAACCTGGATGACAAGGTTGAAGCATTCCATAGCTGGCAATCGTTGGTTGCCGACCCAACCCTGGACAACCGACTTGGCACCGACTTTACCCTGACCCCTTCAGGCGTACGCATCTCGGCTACGTGGTACGGTTCATGGGAGGAGCTTCATCAGTCCAACATTATGGGCAGACTCCCGGCTGGCGGTGCTGCTTCCCTTAGCCAGGAGACTTGGGACAGCTCCATTGCGAAGAACGCAGCTGAGGAGTCACGTCACTTGTCTGCTAGCCCTGGCAAAATCTTCTCCAAGGGCCTCGGCTTCACTCCGGATGACATACTTTCTCGGCCTGCAATCGCCGAACTCTTTGAATCATTAGAGTCTCAAACAGAGGAAAAGTCATGGTCCATTCGGTTCCAGGCTGTGGGCGGTGCCATCTCAGAGGTCCCCACAGGCGCAACAGCTTTCGCCCACCGCGACAAGTTCATGTTCTACCAATCTTACGCCGCTGGAGACTGCAAGACTACCAAGAACTTCCTCGAAAACTTCCACCGGGAGATCCTCAACATCGTCCCAACGGAGGCTACTGGAACTTACCCTGGATTTGTCGACACGTCACTGAGGGATGCGCAGGAGTCGTACTGGCAGGGAAATGTCCCGGCGTTGGAGCAGATCAAGACGGTTTGGGATCCAAAGGATGTTTTCCACAACCCGCAGAGTATCCGTCCGATAACTGCTTAACCAGACTATATCCGGACGGTTACTGTAACCGGGCTATCAAATATAGTCTAGGTAGTCTCAAATCACCCGATATGTGATGTCAAATGATGTCTCTTTCGTATATATGCTCTATTGAAGGTGTCTCAAACTCTCCCCAAGCGAAAGATAACTGCCAGCTCCTACCCTGTCGTCCTTTGATGAGAAATTTGCTGTCGAGCCATCACTTTCAGAGAGGAATCCAATTCCGCGCAAGGATCTGGTTGATAACTATCGCGGAATAGTGTTTTTAGTTCCGTAATGAATGTCCAAACTAGCTCTGTTTCTAGACAACTTGATGGCAAGACCGGCAAATATCTATACTTGCCGTCGTTGAATACCAGCCCTTCAATGTGAGATGGTTCGAGATTCCCACGCTTCATCCAATCGCGTTCGTATCCTGGGAAGAAAAAGTACAACGTGGCTCCGTGATTCACCCAATCCATAATAGAAGCCACAAAGTATCTGACCTGTTGATATTGCTGGCTGCGATTTGATGGTGAGTGCCCCCATTGCACCAGCCATAAGTAGTCGTCCAGCTCGATCTCAAGACCGATGTGCTTGGGGAAACGGGGAGGTGCTCCAAAATGTCCCTTGTCGGATTCTGGGGTTACCAAACATTTTGACATCATGTGTCCTGTTCTACCCCAACCGATGCGGAGGATGATTATGTCCGAAGACTCACAGTAGAATAGCTCTTGTACTTTTCCGTCAAGTTTGGAGGTGATGATTCTCGGCGTGTTCTGTGCGTAGCGTCGAGATCGTTCAACTGCAGCTCGTGACTCTTTGCAAGATGTTAGAAGACCGCGTGTGAGCATGTAGGTTGAGAGGTTCTGGTCGCTTTTGGTGCTACAGAGCTCGACCGCCGGCCCCGTATGACTTGATTCTTGTAAAGAGAAGTAATGCACACCGTGTTCCAAGGGACGGAGAGCAGTGTCCCAGATCATGTCCCGGAGCTCTCTGGGAAGCTTGGAGAACAGTGGAAGCGTAGAAATATTCATGATGGTGTCGCGGAAGCTCAATGGGGCTCAAGTGAGATTGCCTGCGACCGAATTTGTAACGTGGTGTTGTTGGTAAGACTGAAAGAATTCGAACGAGGATGACGTGTCCTCGTCCCTGTCGTTGTCGTTTGCAGGGTTACGTGCAGGTTTGATAAAGGTGTTTAGGAATCAGACGTTCAAAAGAATAAGATGTTCTCGCAACGAGCAGCAAACCTTCGTACTTATTTATGTAGGTAGCGAGAGGCTAGGCAACAGTCTCAACAAGGTGCCCAAATTCCGCTGGGTCAAAAGACGTGCGGGTTCGCAGGAGATACAAACACATTGGAATACAAAAGTGCTGATGATTTGAGTGGGCAGCGGGCGTATCATGAATGATTCAATTAGGTATCAAGGAATATCAAGCTAAGCGCTCGTAACAGTCTACTTCTTCATTAATGCCTCTTCGCCTTTCCAGTCACATCGTCCTCCTCACTGCTACTCAAGGTCGCCTCACTGGCGTTAACTCTGAAGCTGAAGTCCACTACGCCAACCAGACTGCTGACCGCACGAACCAGTCCCTCCAGGTCGTCGCATACAAGCGAGCTGCACACCTGCAGCACCGCAAACTCTGTGTACCCATGCTGCTCCACATTCTTGACGTCGAGAATGCTTCCGCTGCCTGGCGGGCTTATCGTCTCCGCCAGCTCAGCCATGCCTGCCAGTGTTGAATTGTCACTCGTGACGCTGGGCTTGCGAGTCGTCGACCGGACTTCCTCGCCTGTGTGCGTGTGGACAGTGACCAGCCTGTGCTCCAACTCACTTCCCCTTCTCTGGATGCCTGGTTGCGGCTCAGGCTCAGGAGCGCGGAGGTGGAGAAGCTTTCGAGTGAGTTCATTGGGCCGTGGGAGTTGCATGAATGGAGGCAGAGACTGGCCCGAGAGCAAAGAATTCGAGAGCAGGGTGAGAGTGGAGAGGATTGTGTGCTGTGTTGGCTCAATACCGGCGAGGACTTGGTTCAAGGCACGGAGCCACTGACGATCGCTCGCTGATGAGGCGGTAGATGGTCTATCGCGAGGTTTCCAGGTAATGGTGTACGCGATCAGTGTCAGATAGCGCATGATGCTCGTAGAACGTCTGATGATGTCTTCGTAGGTCGCCCTGGGGAACTTGCCACCAATATCAGGCTCCCACTTTTGCCACTGCGCGTGGCTGTCCAGGCTAGGGAGCAACAGCAACAGCTTGCCCAAGATGCGACGTCTCTCCTTCTCCATCTTCTGAGCGGGCGTTCCCGGCATCTTGATGTCTCCATGGGTGTCGTTCATGGTGGCCTTGATGGTCTCGGTGATGACGCTGAAGTAGTTGGCGAGCAGATAGAGCGAAGCGCTGAGGTCCATGCGAAGCCATCTGCGATCCGTAATCGGAGAGGGGAATACGGTCCAGATGAATGCGATGGCACATCCTGCAGCGACACAGGCAAGACGGTAAGGGGCCAGCAGGTAGGTCGGGTAGTACGGCTGTCCGGTGGCTGCAGCGGCGACCTCGCCAATCTTCTGAACTTGAAGCTCGTAGCCGATAATGAGGACTTGGGTGATGATCATAATGAGCCATACGGGCATGAACCTGGGGTACTTGAGGACGAAGTATTGTTCGATGAATGTGAACAACCAGAGGAAGACAATGACTCCAGCAGTTCTCTCAACGACAATGTACCAGATGATGTACGAGAAGATCATGGCGACGAGTGTTCCGCCAACACGGCACACGAAGCCAAAGATGGACTGGCCTGCAGTGATCGTCATTCCGATGGCAATCATAATCATGGCCCAGACGAGACGCTGCTCGTTGAAGAAGGTCTGGGTATCCTTGAGGAAAGCCAGAATGCCTACAGTCATCGTCGCCACTGCCACACGGAAGCCAAACATTGATTCTCCTGAACCGACGAATGCTGAGATCTTTCGAAGCCTGTTGCCGAAATGTTGCCATGCGCCATGTGCGGGGAGATGCTCAGGGTCTTTCTTCTTGTTGTACCCATCACCGGCGTAGACCACGTTCGCACCCATGTCCGCCATGTCCGGGTTCTGCTCTGGCGTTCCGTCCTGGGTGCTGCATGCTCCCCTCAGCCACTTCATGATGCGCCTTTGGGAGGGGATGATCAAGCGCTTCTTGCCCATGGTTCCGTCGGCCACTTTAGAGTCAGCAAACATGACCAAGTCCTGAACCGCCTCACCAAGCGCAAGCATGAGCTTCTCCATGTAAAGCATGACATAGAGCTGTGTCTGGTCGCGCTCCTTCATCCTCGTCTCCAATCGCTTGAGGTGGAGCTCCTGTCGCTCCAGCTCAGTAGCCTCGCGTCTCTCCTTCAACCAAGCCTTCAGCATCTCTCCCTTCTTGTCGTTAAAGTCCTGGACCTTGTCCGCGAGAACTTGTGCAAACCCAGACTCGCCTGGCTTGGGCAAGGCCTTCGCCCCAGCCTCCATTTCGACATCGGCGGTCTTTGACTTCTTGGGTTTCGGTGTAAGTTCGAGCACGATGCCCACGTGTTCCAATCCTTGGTCCATAGCCTCGGTGAGAATTTCGAATGGTTCGTAGAGTTGCAGCATTATATCGTTCCACACCTTTTGCTCCAAGGACTTTTCGATGTCAGTGTCGCCGCCCTCGTCGCTCGTACCCCATCCATGCTTCTCAGCCGCCCGCCTGAAAATGTCGACAATAGTGCTGATTCCATTCAGTGGGATCATAATGCTCCGCAGGCGGTTGAAGATCTCGCTCATGTCCTTGGCATCCAACTTTCCGTACGCAATATCTCTCTTCGCAAAGACCATGTCTCCATGCATCTTTCCGAACAGAGCCGAGATAGCTAAAGCAGTACCCTTCAATTCTCCCGCAGCCCTGGCCTCCTTCGTCATCTCGGGGCCCTTCGGCTTCTTCCTGAAAGCGCTGCTTGCTCTCGTTGGCTCGCGTTCCAACATGTCATCGCTGGACAGAACCTGCAGGTAGTTCAATTGAAGTCTAATTGACTTCCTGACCAACCCGATCGCGCCCTTGAATTCAGCACTGACAACCTTTCGGCTGGATACCGGGAAGATGACGAGAGCGACGCCGGTAGCGATGCCCATGGCAGAGAGCATAGCCACCAGAAGTCGTCTCACAAATGACTCTGCGGACGCGTCTGTCACCATAAGCGGCCCAAAGGTGCACGCCACGTTCATGAAGATGGAGTAAATCATGACAGGTAGGTTCATAGCCGGATACTTTGCACGCAGCGTGTTGGAGATCCAAATGTTAAAAAAGAGCCAGATGCCACAAACAGCTGATTGACTCGAGTTGTAGATGGGCAAGCCGGTGGCCAACTCTTCGGCTGTTGCGGTGTTGTGTCGCGCTCGGACACCAGTCCACAGGGCCAGCATGGAGATTGCGGCACCGATGCAGATTCCCGACACATTGAGGACCAAATTCTGTAGGTACTTTCCTCTCGGGAGAATAGCGAGAGCGAGGACTGAGATAATGGGTACAAGGTAGCCCAGGGTGGTGAAGTATTGCGCAACTGGTGTCGATTGGTAGATGCTGATACCAATGATCGGTGGTAATGAGCCCTTGAACATCATCATGACGGTTGGCACATCGAGACCGAGTCTGGTCATCAGATTGGGCTTCGGAGGCGGCTTCCTTGCTGCACTGGCGCTCGTCGCGTTAGTCGGCGCCCGCGCCGGAGCCGCGGGTCGAGGCTCCGGCGAGGGGGTTGACCGGTCGGCATCGGGCTGCTGTTCATCGGTACTCATGTTTTCGGGAGCATCGGTCGCGACAGATTGGGATGAACTCGAGTTCACCTCTTCTCCGACGGATCGGAGAGTCGAGCGTCGTCGCATGCCGGGCATCTTGATGAGATGAGGTTGAGTTTTTCAGGCCCGAGGCCCGGTGTTGTTTTGTCTTACTTGATGATGTAATTAGCGGAGATCGCCGCCCGTCTACTGGCAAGACATTGCCGACAGAGTTTGCGCTAGCGCGACGTTTTGTGGACTTTTTACTCGTTTTCGTTAAGACCGGATGGAGATTATTAGGAACTAAAATAGCTGGCGAGTCAATCAACCATCGACTTGGCCGATTCATGCCTTGAGGGCACGGGCCTTCATCTCATCTCGTTCAAGGGATGAGGCAGATGAGATGGCCGCCGGAATGGTCGCACAGGGAGCCGTTCGGAAGATTTGGCAACTTGAGTTGGGGATATCGACGTTGGAATCAACCTTAGATGGACTTCAAATGCCTGAAAGATCATCATCAAAGTCGATGTTCACTGACAGGCCTCTTCATCCAAGTGAGCAGACCATCGGACGCGCCAGAACTTGACATAACATGGTGCCAGCGAGGTATCGAATCAGGGAATGACTGCAACAAGCCAACAGCAACTTCTTTCAGCAGCGAACTTGGCTACGTTGATTCCCTTTCAGCTTTAGTCGACAGAATTGACATGAACAGGAAACAAAATGATTCGATGTTGCCGTCAATATCGAAGCAATGTAGTATCGGCCCATGAGGATTCTAGCTCGGTCCAACGTGTTATCTGCATGCAAGATCCCTGTAGGTCAGCCCTAAGCAGGCCGTCTATTCCCCGCCACGTCAGTAGGCTGAACCGTCTCCTTTGCTTGGCAAACCAATGCCGCGTGGCCGTGGAAGCCGTGGAGTTGTGTCCTGGCAGACTATGATGCTTCTTTGGGCGGTTTTCTGTCGAGACTCGGAATACTCAGATCCTCAGCATGTAGGCCTCAGATGTCCTTCAAATAAACAAATACTGATTTCGTCGTTTTAGGTTCCACATGTGATCGAACCCGTCCCGATCCACACATCCGCGCTCAACTGCCTCTGAATAAGGGGCAGGGGTCAGTTTCCAACCCCGCAGATTCCGGACGAAACAGTCCATTGTCTTCCTCCAGTCTCGTTCCGCTGCCTTCTCTCGCGTTCGATTCCAGGCGAAACCATATTTCGTCATGAAATTCCTTTTTGGAGTCAGTCTCAAATTTTTGAGTGCAATCATAGATCGAACTGTATGTGGTGGGAGCCCAAGAAGGGTCTTTCGCGACATGACCCATGCGACACGAAAATTACCAGGCCTCTAGCTTGTGAGCTATTTACTTAGGTACGGATGTCTATACAGCAATCCAGAGGTACCAATTAAGTAGCCCCTTTGTGTAGATACGCCTTAACTTCAAATTTACCCAGAACTAGCGCAACACGACGTCCTTCATCTGGACAGCCACGACAGACAGTCAATGAGCGAGATTCCGGCCCAAGTGAGTGAGTTCCCGCATGCACGCCGCTCACCGCCATCCTTCAGAAGTCTCGGTAACGAGTTTCGTACTTCAAATTAACCACGTCCCCGGGGCTAATAGCATTAACCCTCTTGCTCCTGATGTCTGTTCTGTCTAACAGTTGCTCGTAGAGTGGGGCAAACTCCCTCGAAGTCTGGAGATGCGCCAGGCCGAGGAACTGTTTTTTGTCTTCCAAGTTGACGTGGTGCTGAACTCGATAGGATAGGTAGATTTCGTTGAAGCGTATGTTGGTGTCTAGATTATCGCGAGCAGCCACAGTGGCCATGCTGAACAAAGCTCCCTGAGTTACAGCAGGAGCTGCTCGCCGACCCATATCACCTGAGGCGCCAGAACACATCGTCCAAGAGCTGTTTGGGACCCCCTTTTCTAACAAGTAGGGCACAGTTCCACGGTATGCGTCTACGATACGATTGTTTAGATTCGAACATTCACGACGAGCTCAGCATATGTTGGTGGCTACTCACATAGATAAGTTTCGAAATTGATCTTCATAATCTCATGAAGAGTAGAAGTCTCGAGATCAATCAGACTAGTCTCCCAATAAAGACCACCCGCTGTTCGAAGTTGGGATCAGTCACCAGTCCTCGAAGCAAATACCAGAGGCCACCTGAATCCACAACGATAAGGGGTGAAGAAGTACTCACGAGACGCAAAAACATGCTGAAACGGCGGCAGCTTGCCGGCGCGAACTTGATCAACGATACCTCTAACAGAGTCCTCAGATGTGATGTCCGCTTCGGCGATCGTGATTCCATCGCGGGTTCCAACGTAGTCGAATATCTTCTCGGCGCTTGTCTGATTACGAACAACAGCAATGACTTTGCGCTTGGCTTGGAGGGCACCGATAACGGCAGATACTCCGATGTTTCCGGATGCGCCGAAGACAAGAACCGTTTCTGCCATCGCTATAGTCAACAAATGGGTCGTGCTTTTCAGATCAAGTCCCAAAGGTGGTCGGAACAGACTGTCCGGGCAGGATGGGCAAGGCTTAGGAACCCATTTATACTAAAATGCTCACCGACTTTCACTTTAATTAAACGTGTTAGTTTACCGACAAAGATTGCATTCAGCATGGGCTCGCCATCATTCTTAGACGCGAGGTGACATCAAGTATGGCTCTGGGCTAGACGAAATGGTTATGCTGTCCGAAACGTGGACAGCTCCTGGATCGAATGCTTGTGCCGAGTGACACAATGTGGGTAGAGAGCCAATCAAACATCTTCCGCAGCTGGAGAAATGCATTCAATCGGGCCATCAAAGACGACTAGTGAATCTCACTGCAGATTTAGAGAAGTATTCCCAGGCTGAGGACCCCGCCTCTAAACTGTGTAGTTGATATTACCGGTTCATTTCCTGACAACGATGTACGGTGGGTAGCAATGACGGCGCATTGCTTTCCTGTTCGGTATTCTTCATTGAGATGCAAGTTTGTCGACGGCAAGCGCAGGAACAATGCAACACCGACCGCGCACTGTGAGATCTCGAGTCGCTCATTCGTCGGGCCAGGGTTTCTTCGATTTCCACATCCAGTCTGTGCAATCCACGAATCACGACCTCCTCAACGCTGGATTTTATTGCTTACACACGCTACAGCTTGGAACTACTCTTAACGTTATTGAAATTGTTGTTAAATTCACGATTCTTTCAGATGCAGGGGTACGATTTGCTTTCCGAACTACATTTCCTGACTACGTAAGTGGGTAGGAATAATATACTCAACAAAAGGAACGACAAAACAGGGGCCATGGTAAAAAGTACTTAAAGGCGCTGACGTTAATAATTTCAGGAGATATTTTTTAAATAGTTTAGAATGAGATTTAGTTTATGATCAACGAATCACGGCCCAAAAGATTGAAAATCTTGATCTCGGAACATCAAATTTACTGGCTGAGTTCATCGTGACATAGAACCGTCTCGGTTTTAATTTCATTCTTCAAAACACCTAAAAGCACGATGATAGATGAGTTTCTCAATATATACCAAAAGTAAATTTTGTCAAGTGATGACAATATGTTCATGGTCATTGAAGATCAACATGCAATCTTATTCAGTAGACATCTACCAATGCCAGAGATCTGTTTAACAACAAACTACATTATCTTTGCCTTCAACAGCCCCAGCCAATACTATCAAATGAAGTCTGCTGGTAGACATGCAGATTGTGACTTTTCTCTGGGTCACAGTGAATGTTCTGGAGTTAACCCTTCGCCACCGCAACAGCCCCGGTGTATCGCGAGCGGAGGCCGTAGTGTAAGAGCGGTGAACTACTCAGATCGAGTTATGAACCAATCTTTCAATGTGATGTCGATTATTTTGTTTGATACCCAGTCTTACGGCCGTTCCCAACAACGAGCGGAGGTGTTTCCCATATTGGGCAAAGCTTGGAACGAGGGAGAGAGAGCCAGCCACCATTGGCGCGTAAAAGGACCAGTGAAAAGGCTTCAGATTCTACGTCGAGCACGTAGGCTACTCGCTGAAAGGTTACATCGAGACTACATATAAGGCTGTTCAACATCAAATGGGTTGCGTACCCGTCACGAGGCATGTGGGCTAAGTGGAGGCGGGGGAATTGGCCCAGCTACCAACTCAAACTCAAGGGCAGTGCTGAAAGCCTAATGGCTACCGCTTGTGGCCAGTCTTGGCTAGACCTCTACGTTACAGATGGCTGCCCAAACGACTGGGGGTGCGTGTATGGCTCCGTGCCGCTCTCGACAATTTCTACTAGCTGAAGTCTTACTGGTGCAAGGGGGCTCGGATCTGTTGTCTGCTCTTCTAAGAGGCCACACCCCTGGCACCGGACTTGATGAAATCTGAAAGAGTGAGGCCCCTTAGGAGTCTGTCATCACCCGATAGCCCGAGACATGTGCGTTTTCTTTCTATTACTCGTGCAACGGACCACTAGTCTGAAGGCGCATTCTGACAGACCCTTGAAAACATGTGGCAACAGCAAGCAAGTGCAGAGGTGAGATACACTTGCCGCGTGTCAAGCTTGCGGGGCGCCTAACAGGTGGCACCCAGCCACCGGTTGCTTTAATGTTAGGCCATGTGGACCCATTCACACGGAGCACCATGATTCTCATGACCACGGGATGAATTCCCTGAAAATAGTTAAATAGCCGCCTCTCACGTATGGATGGGGATCCAGTTGACGTATGATCATCAACAGGCATTTCAGTGTAGGTGGCTCGGATATCACCCCTGCCCATCTGTGGACAGATGTGACTCCTCCTAGATGTAGCTACGTGCCGCTCAGTCTCGGGCCTCAATGGCGTAGAACTGGGGGTAGTGGTAGCAAGGGAGTGTCTAGGGAGCAGTGCCAACTTGTTTTCTTGTTCTTACTCGCAAGCGGTTCTCTAGACATATGCTTTCAATGTTCACTGTTGAACCTGTGTGTACCACTCTTTTCTCAAATACTTGAATGGAGATTCAATCACGATGTTTAATGATCATATGGTAATCATTATGACTATTCGCTACTGACCGTGCGTGACCCTTTCAGCTTATCCTTCTGACCCGGCGAAAGCACACAATCTTCGCTTTGTCCTACACCA